ATGATGATAATGGTACCCACCTCACAGGATGGAGGATGGAATGTGACAAAGAATGGGCAGTGCTTGGCATGCTATGGGCAGATTCTGCCTGGCACTCGATACAACGAAGCTTTTGGCACTGCCTGGCAGAAAACGTGTTCCTTCTTCATATATTTTACTTTTAAAACATTCTTTGGTGCTAGCTTATTTGGCTATCTGTCTCTAGTGGAAACTCCTCAAAGATTGGGAAAGTGTCGGTCCGTTTCTAGCATCCAGCACGTGACCTGAATCATAGATAGTGCTCAGAAAAGGTTACTGATTGCAAGTAACATCAAATCACATACAAAACACCGTGTGTGTGAGTGAGTGTGTACAAGACGACCCTATAGACACATGTCAGATGCCCGGGAACTGTAAGCCTCAGGGACCACATGGAGATGAGACACCAAAGACATTAGAGAGAGCCCAGCTGACCTATACCTCTGTACCAACCCGCCCCCCCCCCCATCCAGAAATAAACTTCACGAATCGTGGGTCTCCAACACCCTGTTTCGACTTTTCATTCTTTCATTCGACAAAGGCTTAATGGGCAAATCCTATAAGCCAGACAGTGAGCTGGGTGCTCAGAAATATTTAGAGAAAGGGAAGGAAAATAAAACAGCTTTTGCTCTCAAAATGTGCATAATCTAGGAGAAAGATAGGGAAGCAAGGAGATTATTTCATTACAGCAAGGTAAGCCCTTGGAAAGAAATGAGAGAAGTACAGGCAGGAATAAGGCAAGGAAGGCTTTCTGCAAGTATATCTCACTGAGTCTTTTTCTTAATAGGCTGAAACTTTAAAAAAATTTTTTTAATGTTTATTTATTTCTGAGAGACAGAGAGTGAGTAGGGGAGGAACAGAGAGAGAGGGAGACACAGAATCTGAGGCAGGTTCCAGGCTCCGAGCTGTCAGCGCAGAGCCCGACACGGGGCTCAAACCCACAAACGGCAGGGTCATGACCTCAGCTGAAGTTGGCACTTAACCGACTGAGCCACCCGGGCGCCCCAGATCCCACTGAATCTTAAAAGATTGGAAGGATCAGGCAAACGAAAGCAGCAGGGAAGGGTGTTCCAGGCAGAAGGAACAGCATGTATGTACAAAGGTGTAAAAGACAAGAAAGGACTTTGTACACGACACAGAAGTGTTGGTACGAAGTTTGGAACGTCTGTAGGAGCAGTGCTGGGGGGTAATGGCAATAGATGAGGCTGCAGAGCCCACCAGGGGCCTGACTACGAAGGGCTTGGCACAAGCTTGACTGTTTTTGCCTGAAAGTAATGGGGAGTCATTGAAGAATATTAAACAAGGGCATAACACAGTCATATTTACATTGATAACTATCACTCCGTCAGCATTCTAATAGCAAAGAGAACGGAGGTTTGGGAAATGTGTCATGGGAAACCTACCAGCCTCCTGTTTTGTCCATGATGGATCTCACATCTAGTGTTGTCCAGCCAAAATAGTATCTCAGAAATGATCTCCTCTAACCCTGTTATCACAGAGATGAAAACACTTATTTTCAAGGGATGTAAAGTAGTTTATCCAAACTACTTATCTTTAAAAATTTTTTTAAGTTTATTTATTTATTTTGAGAGAGGAAGTACACACAGAAGAGGCAGAGAAAGAGGGAGACAGAGACAGAGAGAGAGAGAGAGAGAGAGAGAGAGAGAGAGAGAGAGAGAGAAAATCCCAAGCAGGCTCCACACCATAATAGTGCAGAACCCAATGTGGGGCTTGAACTCACGAACCGTGAGATCGCGATCTGAGCTGAAATCAAGAGTGGGTTGCCTAACTGACTGAGCCACCCAGGTGCCCCTAAAAATTTTTTTAATGAAATAAAAAACCTCTGCCCCTTGATTCAGTCCTTGTAGGTCCCACTGCCACCCACCACTCGGCTAGCACTTCTGCTAGGTGGGTTCACTTCTGCAGACAGAATTCAGGGAAGATCCTCTTTGGTGGCTAAAAACATTTACCAGTTTTGAGAGCTAGTAGGATATCTATCCTATGAACATGAAAAAGAATTTAAGAGGTTTTGTACATGGTCACATAGTGATTAAAAAGTTAAACCCTTTTAAACCAGAGATTATTCTTGAGCTTCTAATACTATTTAAATTACAACTCCCAAATCTTGAATGATGTAGCAGTCTAAAGACCAAATGCGGGTTTTTTTTTTTTAATTATTCTATACATCACATGGAAGTTACTTAACATGACTAAAGGTAAGATGGCTAGATTGGCCTGGTAACAAAATCTTAGAGGGGTTCTTTGTGCTATAATACCCACCATCCCTCAATCCTCTATAAAAATAAACAAGTTGATTATGTCAGGTTTCTGTCCAAGAAATCTCAAAGAAATCCACAGAGGTGCTTCTAATCTGTATAACACGACAATCTTGTGATCCATGGGTATCTCATGGTAAATTAAGGCAATTGTCTTAACCACTCCGATATTAAAAGCTGCTTGCTTCCGGAATACCAGATAACCACAGCAAAATAGAATAGTGTTTGGGAAAATCCCAAACCACAAGTACATTTCCATTTGTTTCAGGCAAACATGCAAAAAGACACGCGAAAAGCAGGTCCATTATTACCGGTGCAATAAATATCGTCATCAACTCTTTCCAAGTAGAGATCCTGGAAAGAATCAGGGGCGCCTGGGTGGCTCAATGGGTTAAGTGTTTGACTTCGGCTCAGGTCATCATCTTATAGCTTGTGAGTTCGAGCCCCGTGTCGGGCTCTGTGCTGACAGCTCAGAGCCTGGAGTCTGCTTCAGATCTCTTTCTCCCTCTCTCTCTCTGCCCCTCCCCTGCTCATGCCCTGTCTTTCTCTCCTTCAAAAATAAATAAACATTAAAAGAAAAGGAATCAGTGAGCCCAACATTTCACTGCTCTGTACCCTTAGGGACATTAGCTTCATTTAAACCCTCCTGAGAACCTGTGTATTCACTGCAATGTCACAAATGGGTGACCAGGCTCAGAGAGGTACAGGTGTTTGTTTACCCTCACACAGCTTGAAAGTGGCAGCTGCAAGGCAAACCCGTGTCTGTCTGAAACAAAGCCTGTGTTTTCTGCATTCCAGGCCCCTGTGTGGAAGCTGGCTCCTGGCGGGTGGAATGATCAAGGGGACACGTTGCTGGTACAAGCTGGGGCGAGAGTCACGATGGAGTCCCTAGAGAGTGGAGAAGCCAGAAAGTCCCTGAAGTTGGATGAGGTATCAATTTGCTTTTTGGGAGTTGGTCCGTCCGCTGAAGAAGCTGTTGCACAGGTTTTGTTCCTCCGGGCCATCATTCCGAACATGGAAGCCTCGGGCACCGTGACTGCCCAGGTCCCAAGAGACACCAGTAACTATACCACCCACACCCCACATCTACCCACTGAAGCCCAGTGCCCAGTTCCCCTTCCGTAAGACTTCCTGTTGTCCCGTCACCAGCAAAAGCCGTGCCTCTATTTGACCAGGAAAGGCATCTTCTTGGAAGGAAAGGGGGAAAGAACACCTTTTCTAAATTGCCTCTCTCTTGCTAAAGTGTTTAGCGTATACTTAGCATGATGAAGCCTTCTCATGTTGCCTACACATGAAATGAAAACCATGATGTAATTTTGCTTTTACGGTTGTAAATGGAAGAGTCCATCAGCGAGACCAATACTTCGTAAGATACTTTTATCAATCCTGCATGCCAGGAACCCAAAGTACAGTCTCGTCCACGGTGTCCTGAAGTTTACAGTTCGGTAATATAGTTCCTAGACATATCATGTATTTTTCACTCTGCCAACGAAACAACTAGTGATGGCTTTTGTGCCGTGTTCCATTGGTTTGGACGATGACAACCCTGAGTATCACAGTTGGGGCTGCTGGACTATTAATTAAGGAACAGAATTAAACTGCAAAGAATAAAGATACCCAGAAAGCCAGGAAGCAGAAAGAAGAGGCATCATGCGGTATGGGTGTTCATTCTAGATATGTTCATTATATGCCAAAGCCTGGGGAAGGCAAATATGGGATTTGAAAAGACACCATCTGTTGTGTGATGTTCCAAATTATAAACTTAACCCTTAATTTCTACATTCCCCTGCTGTTCAGGCATTCTCCTTCTTCAGGATGAAAAAATAAAAATGAAGCAGTGTTAGCAGGATGGATGGATATGCCATGTAAGATGTTTTGATCAGCTCAACATCACAACCTGTATATTTTCTCCAGAAAGAAATTCTTGTTATATTTTACTCTTAAAACAAACCAAACAAACCCAGAAATACAGTGGTTGCCATTAGCTTAGGGTCCATGTAACCCACAGCAAGCCACAGTTTTTTCTATGATTTTTGTGTTACTTAACATCTCTGGGCTCTTTGAAAGAAAAAAAGCAGAGATTTTAGAATGCTTTCAAATCTGTGAAATGAAAAGCAGAGTAATAATCCCTCAAGTGGAGATCCCTCAAGTGAAGAAATGTTTTGAACACAGAAAAAAAACACCCACTAAGAGTATATAGTCCAAATCAAAAACATTTCCTGTTTAAATATTCAAAGGCAACATGTGGCCAATGAAACAGGAGAAATTTCCATTCAAAAGAAAAAAGTAAGGTTACCCTCAAAACTGCCCAGGTTTTCCTTACTTGTAGGTCTGAAATAGCCTAGTTTTTAAAATACACTTAGCAGGGGCACCCGGGTGGCTTAGTCCGGTTGAGTGTTGAGTGGTTGAGTGTCCGACTTCAGCTCAGGTCATGATCTCACGGTTCGTGGGTTCGAGCCCTGCATCGGGCTCTGTGCTGACAGCTAGCTCAGAGCCTGGAGCCTGTCTTCGGATTCTGTGTCTCCCTCTTTCTCTGCCCGTCCCCTGTTCACGCTGTCTCTCTCTCTCTCAGAAATAAATAAAAACATTACAAGAATTTAAAAAATAAAATAAAATAAAATACACTTAACAAATGGGACACAGCTCATTCAGGGTTGATTTGAGTTCACAAAATAATTTTATTATATGTAAGAAAGCATACAGGCAATAAAATGAAGAAACATTCACAATGCATAAATAACACAGACCTGATGCAAGAGAGAGTTTGCAGTAGATTTCTTTCTTGTTACCCATTTCATCTAAATGTTAAGTAAATTGCTTATCAACAAGACTTTGTAAACATTTCAAAGAAATCCTCCTGAAATGCCCCACATGAATGAGTATCTGGCAACAGAGACTCCTGATACTTCCTACAGTTGAGATGATGAGATAGCAACTTGATTCCAAAGCACAGAGAGGGAGCTAGCATTTGGCAAAAGAGATACTGATGGCTTTGGGGCACTTCACACATCCAACTGAGAAGGGGTCTCCTGTTTTTTCCCAGCAAGAGAAATAAGTGTCTAACTTGAGGATGATAATGAGGCACTATTCGTTAGTTAGTACACTATTCACATCGAGACTTAAAAAAAAAAAAAAAAATCAATCCTAAATTCCGATCAAAGCGCTACAAAAAGTCACCCCACTGAGTGGTGTGATTTGACCCGGAAAGATGGAGATGCAGCCTTTGACCTCTGTCCATTGGTGAGACTGTTGTAAAGCAAGAGTGAAGGAAACCTATTGTCTTCACGACACATATTTAACCAGGACGGCAGTCTGTTTTGTTCAGAAAAGCTATCTGACACTGAAATGAGAAAAGACGCAGAGGGCCAGTTATTTTACATAAATACAAAGTGGCACATACTTTCCATTACCACCTAAGATCATAAATTTCAAGTCAGGCTCTTCAGAAGCTGGCTTTTATTAAAGATATTTACAGAACTGCAAATCATTCTCCTGGGAACGTCTTTGTCATTTAAAACAATGTGGACACAATAGGAGCTATGCCTTTTTAAGTTTCTCAGAATCTTTCTAGAAAAAAAAAAACATTCACAGCATTTGTCATGTCTCACCTCATATCTATTTATGCCCATGAATTTTAAGGAATGATCACAACTTCATTTCCTATCAGTCTTTGCTGTGTTGCTAGAAGTAAGCATTTAGAATCTCAGAGAGTGTATGTGTTTATTTCATTGGCCAATAAGGTACTAGTTAGAGGGATGAACAAGGTCTCAGATAACTTGTTAGTTTATTCTGTGACATATGATAAATATAGATTTCTTATAATAAGTTAAAAATATACACAGAATACAATAAATAAATAAAACCAATATCAACAAAGCATCTTTCAAGTCTGGGGGGGAAGAAAACCCACTCCTACTGTAAGGCTTAATTATGTTTCCGAAATAACTTACGAAGGCATGCACGTACCTTGACCATCTGAAAACTCTGCCCGGACCAGTGTTAGCACCTGTTAATACACAGCAAACTCAACCCTTCTCATTTCCTTCCTGGAAAGGATTAACTTTTTGAAGCGATGCCGTTCATTGTGGATTCTTTGCCCTATATGTGAAGTCCTAAGATAAGAACCAGTTTCTAAAAATAATTTTGGAGCCAAAGACACGTCCCTGTGAACATTCACTTCACATATGTCCCTCTTTGATTCACTATGAACAACACAGAAAACGCACTGGGAAGTATTTGAAGATATAGTTAGTTGTGTGTTGAGGGCAAGCAGCAGAGGGGTGGGGGGTGGGGCTTGCCTGACATCTCAGGGTCTCCCCACACCTTAGTCTCCTAACAGCAAGCCACTGAAAATCTCCACCTTTTGGGGTGAACCCATCTGGCAGGACTCATCTCAGGGTTCAGGTTGGATGCTGTCCATTTTGTGTGATGGGCTGGATCTTCTCCAGAGACACATCAGCGTCAGAGTCCAATATGACAGATAGGGCCGGGGACAGCTTCTCCAAGGGTCTGGCCATTCCACACGCCTCCTCCTTCTTCAGGTCCTCGGAGGAGCCCACTGCATGTGGGATCAGATAAACCAGATTGCAGTCCTTGGAAATGGAGCCTCGGGGCTCGTGATGGCTGGAAAACACCACAGCCCCGTTGTTATTGATGCTGACTGTCTCTATGGCATTATTGGTGGTGGGGCAAAGTCTGTAGCAGCCTAAAAGAGTTGAAAATGCCTTCCGAAAATCCGCATTAAAGGCATAAATGATGGGGTTCAAGGAGGAATTAGCCCACCCGAACCACACAAACACGTCGAAGGTGATGGAATCGATGCAGAAGGGCTTGGTCTCCCCAGACCCACAGAAGGGCACCATGCAGTTCAAGATGAAGAAAGGGAGCCAGCAGCACACAAACACCCCCATGATCACGGACAGGGTCTTCAGGACTTTAGTCTCTCTTTTGAAGGACATCTTAAAGGAGCTTTCTGGTTGAGAACACTCCACAGGGTTGCCGTTACCTGTGGCGGTCTGGCAATTCTTGGCATGGACTGCGGCCCTCTCCAAGGCTGAGATGCGCCGTATTTGTTTCTGGGCGATCCTGTAGATCCTGGTGTAGGTGACGATCATGATGGCCACGGGAATATAGAAGCTTATCAGGGAGGATGAAATGGCATATGTCCTGCTCAGGCTGGAATCACAGTTGTCCATGGTCTCACCTAGGGAAGTGGCATTCCCGTCGGAGGAGCCTGTGGGTTTGGCCTTGTGCCAGCTGAGCTGCACTGGGATGAAGGAGATGAGTACAGACAAAGTCCACGCCACGCTGATCAGAATGAAGGCTGCTTTGGGGGTCATCTTTCTCTCGTACCGGAAGGGGCTAGAGATGGCCCAATACCTGTCCACACTGATCACACAGAGGTTGAGGATGGACGCGGTGGAGCACATGATGTCAAAGGCCACCCAGATGTTACAGAAGGACCCAAAGGGCCAGAAGCCAGCAATCTCTGCCACTGCTTTCCAGGGCATGACCAAAACAGCCACCAGGAGGTCCGATACGGCCAAGGAGATGACAAAGAAGTTGGTCACCTTGGACCGCAGGTGTCGGAATCTGATGACGGCCGCACAGACCAGCGTGTTCCCCAGGAGGGTGGACAGGATGAGCAGAGACAGGAAACAGGCTGTAAGGATGCGGAAGGAGAAGTCTCTCGCCACCACCAGCCCGGCCCCGTCCATGGTAGAGGTGTTCAGAGTCCTCATCTTGCGGAGGGGGACAGGGGGCTCTGACACCCTCCAGTTCCTAAGCAGGGAGGAGAGGTCTGTCACACCTGCAGTTCTCACCCACCGGGCAGCCCCTTGCACAGTCCCACTGGCTCCCTGGGCCCCAGGACCTCACCAGCATCCCATCAGAGGGGCTGCAACCTTGGCACCCCAAGTCAGCCCCTCGGAAGGTCCCTCTTGCTCCCTAGAACTGTCTTCTGGCTCCCTTGCTCCAGGGCACTGCTGCGTTGACCAGCTGACCCTTCTATTCCCCGAGGAAAGCACTGGCTCTTTAGCATATTCTAAGCTACCAATCCAGAGAGATTCCCAGGCCTCTGCGGCTCTAGTCGCTCTAGTCGATCGTAGTCACATTTGGGGGCTGTTGCCTCTCTGGCGGTGACAGAATTCTCCCTTTTCGGAAGTGCAGCTGAAAATACATGCCTCACTCCTCCAAGCCCCTGGCCCCACAGCAGCCCTCCATGCGCCCTAAAAAGCAAAAGAGAAAGCAAAGGTCGTTCGCCAAGACTTGAGCGGATCGCAGCTTTAGCCGTATCAACCCCAGTTCAACTCCGTGCGAGCCACCTACCTTGCCTTGAGGTTGTTTCGCTACAAAAGCCCCCGGAGCTCCGAGAGCGGGCTTCGCTAGGCGCCGCCGCTGCACAGCGCCCAGGAGGCGCGCCGGAGTCCTGCCCCGCGCGCGCGGCCGGGGTCTGGCTGCTGATGCGCAAAGATCGCGGGGCAGGTTCGAAAAATGATCCCCCGCCAGGTCCCCCAGAGCCGGCGCTGCCCTACCTCTCCAACGGCCAGAGATCGTTCAAGCCAGTGACACTCGGGAAAAGGGCTCCCGGGCGATCGGCTCCTCCTTGAGAGAGGGCACCTCCAAGAGTGGTCACTTGGGAAGCTTTTCCTCGCTGCCTTTCTCCCGGAGCCGAGCGCCCGGGCTCCCCTCGGATGGCTTCTGGCCCCTCGGGGCAGGGCTCTGCGCCTCTCCACCGCACTGAGAGCTACCTCCCGGGAGCCCGTGGGAACACCAGGCAAAGAGAGCCGAGCTGGCACCGGAGGGCGCACGGGCCAGCCGGGTTCCCGCGGGGCACAGCCCACCCCGCCCCCGCGTCCCCTCCCCTGCCCTGGGGGCGGGCTTCGCTTGACAGGCAGAGTTGCGGGCGACAGCCTGCACGTGGTTCCCTGGATGATGCCGCGGGCGAAACGGGGCGGGGGACGCCCAGGTGAACGCTCGCACGCCCTGGGTCACCTGCCAACCCCCGGGTCCCCGGACAGCACGGGACAGGGCCCGCGAGACAGATCCCTGTGTGAGAACCTCGAGTAAGCCCGAGTCCCCAGAAATCGAAGCTCGGCCCGACATCCACTGGGGACGACCCCAAGCCCTTCCCAAAGACCGACGCAAGCAGGGACCCTGCCCACTCTTCCACGCAGACCAAACCCTGCAACAGCCCGCGTCCGTCTGACCCGCGTCTCCAAGTGTCCCCCAACTAGGGTGAGCGGTGCCCCGCCGGCGCCTGCACTCACCATTCCGAGAGGGCTCCGCGCAGCGGCGCGCCCGGCAGGTGCGCTCCGCTGCGCGCGGAGGGCGCTCCCTTCAGGCTCCGCCGGGGCAGCGGGCGCGTCGCGGGCTGCGGTCAACGCCGGACTGCAGCCTGTGCCCCACGCCGGGCGAGCGCCCCAGCCCCAGCGCCACGAGCTCAGCGGGCCCGGGGCGCCCTCTGCCGGCGGCGGCGGCAACCCAAGGCCCGGGCTGCGCCCTGGCAGGTACAGACCTCACCGCCTCCCGCTCCCGGATTCGCGCGGGACCCGCGCCTGGACCGGCGCTTCCTCGAGCACGCCTGCCGGAATCTGGAAAGAGGGAAGCGCAACGTTCCTCATCCAGGATTCATTCTGCTTGAAAAACCCCTAAAAATTGATAAGGGTGAAAAATTCCTTTTGCTGGCGCCGCGTTCACTGAACCGATATATTCTCCTGAGCATTCATCAGTTGCCAAGAGGAGGGGCGATAGGGTTAGCAAGATGCAAGCCTTATTCCCAAGGAGACCAGAGAGAACTGGCAGTGACTGAGCAGCCTCTGTGTCCTGGGCACACGCCTTCTGTTGTTCACCCCTTAAAACAATCCCTCCTCGTAGGCCCGCTCGCCTCCATTTTGGCCAAATGGAAAATGGGGTCCAGAAAGGTGTTCAAAGTTACAGGGCTAGGGCAGGTGCCGGCTGCCTGACTCCCGCCTGCGTGTTCTTTTCTCTTCTGCGTCACTGCCTACCGGGGAGCTCGGGTCTAGCGCCGGAGCCAACAAACTAAATAAGTAATTACCCTCAGGTCTAAAATAGAGCACAGGATGGAAGCCAGGGGGGCTAGTGGAGAAGGATTTCCCCAGCTTGGTTTCTTCCTCTTTAAAAACGGTGATGACAGGGGCGCCTGGGCGGCTTAGTCGGTTAAGCGTCCGACTTTCGCTTAGGTCATGATCTCGCGGTTCGTGGGTTCGAGCCCCGCGTCGACCGCCAGCTCGGAGCCTGGAGCCTGTTTCAGTCTGTGACTCCCTCTCTCTCTGACCCTCCCCTGCTCACTCACTCTCTCTCTCTCTCTCTCCTAGAAATAATAAAAAAAAAAAATTAAAAACGGTGATGACAGAGCAGGATTGTTCTAAGTTTTCCATGAGATGATGTTTACAGAGGGCTTGGTCCTGAGCCCAGGAGCTGCTCAGCCCTCCACAGGTAGAATCCCTGCGGGCTCATCAGAAAACCAATAGCCTTAGCTCCTCGGTGAGGACGCAGCACCACCTTGGAAGCTACGATTTTCTCTGCAAAAATCCAGAACCTGCAAAAATCCAGAACCTAAGTAACAATTCCATTCAATTAACCAGTTCCACCTGCACCTTGGCTTTAAATGAAAGGACTGTATTCCCAGCACAGACCTTCCGGTGCCTCTAACCCCCACCTCTGTGCTCCCACCCCCGGCCTCGCTGTCACACCCAGGGACACCATGAGCCACGAGTCAATGTAGCCACACACAAGCCCCCAAAACCACATTCTCTAGACTTAAGCCATGCTTAACATAATAATACTTCCCAAGGCTGGGTTTCCTTAACGTAGTCGCTCCTCTGAGCCCCTTCTTGACTTCATTTTCTCTTCCTTTCCCTTTCACAGGACATGCTTCTGATTCAAATGGTCACGTGAGCTTGAACATTTAACTCTCACACTCTAACCACCCCATCCTGGAATGTTTCTAATACATTCTACCTGGACACACACACGAGTAGGAGAAATTCAGAATTAGCCCTGGAAAATTGGCAAGAGTCGGGTCCTTTTTCCATGATAAAGGGCAGATGGGATTGGAAGGGGAGAACATCCTTGGCATTTTCCGTACAGGAAGACACCCCCGAAAGAACACACTACCGAGATACAGGTAACAGAGGTCGGGATAAGGCCAGTTTGAGGGGGAGCATTTCTGACTAGTGATTGCCCTTGAGATGTGCCTCCAACGCCTGGTTCTCCCAGAGCCAATAACCCTAGCAATGCCCACTGCTTTTTAAATTAAACTAAGGAGGACATCCACGAGGGAACACCCAGGCCTGCTCCATGGGGAGGGGTCTCATCTAAATAAAGCCCAGTGGTGACAGATCAGATTTCAGGTGGCATCATGTTTAAGGAAATGCCAGTTCCGTGGCCAAAAATATCTGATATGAAATTTACCTACTACCCAAAAAACTTGTTCGAAACAAATGACATTCATAACGTACCCCTTCCTATGCTCATTTCTCGCAACCTAGGTAGCTGCTCCAGGAAAAGGGGAAAAAAACCTCTCTTTCTTTGCTCGAAAAATCCCTTAAATTCTTTCCAAACTAGCCCACACTGACCTTTGTCATTTTCTCTCAACTCATTCAGCAGGTCTAGGTGATCAAATACATCACTGCTGGGGCGGTTGAGAGGTATTTCTCATCTACAAGTAAATAAGTAAATGTCTGTCATTTTCAGTATCGGAGCATCAAATCTCCTCCTTAACCATAATATACAAAAGAAGCTCAGGGGGCGCTTGGTGGCTCAGTCGGTTGAACTTCGGCTCAGGTCATGATCTCACGGTTTGCCGGTTCGAGCCTCACTTAGGGCTCTGTGCTGACAGCCAGCTCAGAGCCTGGAGCCTGCTTCGGTTTCTGTGTCTCCCTCTCTCTCTGCCCCTCCCCCACTCGCACTCTGTCTCTCTCAAAAATGAATAAAAACATTTTTTAAAAACTTACAAAAAAAAAAAAAGCTCAGGAACCCAGAGCTACAGAAGGAAGGAATACCCAAGGGGGTGATCTTATTTCCTGTCACCAGGAAAACAAGAGGGTTGAATCATTTCTTATGATTCCAAGACAAATACCTGAGTTCTCCTAGCAGATATAGTTCACTGATTTTTTAACACGATTGCCAAGGGAACAAGAAAGAGTAAGATGTAGCTGAAATCTTCTGTTATTTTCACTTTGCAGAGCGTGAATTTCAGAAGAACTTACAGTCTGGCTAGAGATTTTGGACTTTTTTCCATTTTTTTCTCTCTTGAAGCCAAGGTGAAACAAAGTCTTCCATTTTGTTCTATAAAAATCTCCCCCACAAACATCAAGAACATGAATATAAATGCAAGCAGGTATTAGCCCTAGATCATGCTGAGAATGTAAACCCAAACACAAAAGCACCTTTATTTCCCAAATTGGCATGTCTTTTAAGCTCTGTAGCGATTTATGCACTGCAGGAAGGAGGAAGTTACAATGACGCTTTTAAACAAATTTTTATTTAGCGTTTGTAAAAGTAAATCAATACAAAAGGCACGTAATGGGGGGGTGGTCTCAAGCTCATAAAAGAATACATGAAACAACTGAACCGTCAGGTATAACAAATGATACATTTGGGAGGCTTTGGGATTACTAAAGCTGGTTTTGTACCAAAAATGATTGTTTATAATGTCAATGAAAAAAAATAATAAAGCTTGGCTAACCTTGACTAAGTATCTAGAATGCTTGTTTTCGACCGGAAATATAGTATCTCTGAAATGCCTAATCCCATATCAAATTTTCTTCTCCTAGAGTTACTACACAATTCAGAAATTGACACTATTAAACATTTTTAAATCAATACATATTACTTTGTGTAATATGAACACTGCTTTGTGCTGTTGCTGCACATGTTCATGGTCCCCTTTTTCCTCTTCTTTTTCTGCCTTTAAGCTTAACTAAACAGTTTTCAAGATTTTATTTTACCTCCTGCATTGCCTTATGCTCTACAATCCTTTGTTATTTTCATGGTCGCTTTAGAGCTGACATCATATATGTGGTAAGAGTTTTATGATGCAATATGTATGACATATAAGATACAGTGTATACAAATATCTAGGATATCTATTATGTATCCACAGAGGGTACATATCTATATCTTAGATCATGTATCTTTTCCAAAGCCTATCTTCACATGATAGAA